CCCCCATCTACACTCTCCAAATGCTTGGCAGTTTACTGCTGAAAATAAACATTAATTACATTTTCTGACTATATTTTGTTTTCTCTTGGACTTATATCTTCACTTGTTTTCCAGTGATCACAGACCCTTGCCAAGCGGGAGGTGTGGGTACCCCATGGCCGGCAGCATGCTCCACTCACCATGTGGGAACTACAAACTAGGGGAACATATTGACCTACTCTCAGCTTTCCCACAGAGGATGAGAGGGTTATCCGGTGGCTCGCCTAATGGGGAGGCTTCTGAGGAATGTCCCAGACGCCAAGCCTGGAGAGATCCATTAGCTACAAAAGATGTCTAAACAAGAGAAACATTAGTAATGATAGCCTCTCAAAATGATCCCAGCTTTCCCCCACCACACACCCCCGGCAACCCGTCCACCTCTTCTGCTGGTTCAGAGCAGAAGGACTTGCTGAAAACCTACTATGTGTTGGGACTGAATAAAGTCTGGGCTAGCAGAAAATCTAGGTGATTCTCTGGAGGAGGTAAGAGCAGTGGGGGAATTTCTGTACCAGCTCCTCACAGACCCTTGGTTGGGGAAAACATATCGTGAGTATTTTGGAAACAAAAACTAGTAGAGGGAGGGGAAGAAGAGGGAGACAGGACGCGTTCCTGCATGAACACGAGGCAGTTCAGCTCAGCTTCCTGCCTAGCGCTGGTGGTCTTCGGGGGAGGGGTGCGACAGGGCTGTCGGTAAAGGAGGTTCTGGGATGGAGGAGAATGAGTGGTCAGAGGGTCTGCAGAGCCAAGGCTGGTACTCGACCGTGGACACAGGAAGAGCTTTATTTCGGGCACCAAAGCAAATCTACAGCCCACGGAGGAAAGAAGGACTTCGGTAAAGGTTTTCACGTAGCCCTGCCTGGCCTGGAACTTGCTATGTAGTTAGGGATGAACTTTGACCTTCTGCTCTTCCTGCCTCCGCCCCTGGAGTTCTGGAATTACAGCTGTGCATCATCACACCCAGTTCGTGTGGTGCTGGAGATCAAGTCAGGGGGCTACCTGCTGGGTCCCCCCTACCAGCTGGGGCACACCTCAAGCCCTGGCTAAAGTCTCTAAAGAGGGCAACTTTCCACAGGAAACAAGGAAGGAGTGGAGACCTGTTGAGTTTCTCAACTCAAACATACCAAGAGTCAAGTTCCGAGCCTGCTCTGTACCAGCTGTGTGACCCCTTAGTCTCCCCAAGCCTCAGTCTCTCCTCTACACAGTGGAGGTGCTGACACCCCTCTGATAAGGTGTGAGGCAAGAGGACATGAGAGACGGAGAAGATGGTGACCTCCACATAGCACAAACTGGTCCTCTCCCTGACTTCAAAGGCCATTCTTCAAACCCCTGCCAATTCTTGCTCTTTGAGACACTAATGCCAGCCTGCTCCTCCTTGTCTATCTTCTCCAGGTTTTTGGGACAAGGTCTCACTATATAGCCCTGGCGGGCGTGGAATTCTCTATGTAGACCACACTGGCCTGGAACGCAGAGAGATCTGGAGACTAAAGATCTAGGTTTGACTCCTCGTCCTCCATTTAACGCCAGTGTGACCTTGGACAAGTCATTTAACCTCTCCGAGTTCCAGGTTGTCAGCCTGCAGGGAATTAAGCCTGCCAGAATGAGGTCCCGCCTACCAGAACGAGGCTCCACAGGGAAGCGTTTTTTGTGTTAAAGCACCTCACAAGTGTCAGCTGATGGTCCATGCTGACCATGTTACCATGCCCACTCCTCCACGCTATCCCCCACTCTCCATGCCAAACTCAATCTGGCTAGAAGAAGCACTGAGCAGGGAGTTAGTCCTGAGCCAGTGTCCCAGCACCATTACCAGTCTGGGGTTCTTAATCGTGACCCACAAGGGCCTCTGTTTTCTCATATGAAAATTTTGGCAGGGATGTTTTTGCCTGTTTGTTGTTTTTGAGACAGGGCCTCACTACATAGTCCCTACTGGCATGGAACTTTCTATGTGGAACAGGCTGGCCTGGAACTCAGAGCTCCGTCTGCCTCTACCTCCCAACTGCTGGAACTAAAGACATGCGCCACTGTGCCCAGATTGTTTTGGGGGTTTTTGAGATAGGATCTCACTATGTAGTCCTGGTTGGCCTACTAGGAATACAGATCAGGCTGGCTGGAACTTGGAGTGATCTTCTTGACTCGGCCTCCCAAGTACAGGGATTTCAGGCCTGTGCCTCCACTCCAAGTTTCTTGTGGAAATTCAGAGTATCTTTCATAGGGTATTCTGCTGTGAGGTAGGCCATTGCTGAAGGGGTCAGGAGTTCATTTTCCAAAAGGCACAAGGCTGGGCTTTGAGGACGTCACCACCTCTGCTGATATGATCTCATCAGATTCTTCTATTAATAAGTTCAGAATTAGACACTCCCAGTGTGTGAGCCTAAGGGTGTCTCCGATACTCCGTTTAGGGTAATTAGTCTATTTGACCCTTAGCAGGGGAAATGTGTCCAGTTGGGGGGAAATGAAGTTGTCAAACACAGCCCTTAAGAAAAGGGAGATTTATAGGGGACCGCATACAAAAGCCCAGGAATTAAACAAACAAACAGGCAAAGAACACTTAAGAGCTCAGACCGAACAATGTATACCGCACGCTATGTCCAGGCAAGTCTGCCAGTGGCCCGAGGACTCCCCAGGCACCACCCAGGCATAGCAGCCCAGACAATTGTTCATCTTCCAAGAGCCCTTTCCCAGAAGCCATAGGGTTGTAGGAAGGTAAAGCCAACGACTTCATTGAGCCGGAGGAATATCAGTCTCAGAACAACCTTCGTTGGTAATTTTGGTTTGGGGAACTTTCTTCTGTGTGGCCCGAGATCTGGATCCTGCCACCTCCCTGCTGTCCCCTGACCGTCTGGGGTGCCCTGCTCTCCAGGAATCTTTCCAGCTCCGGTTCCCTGTTTAGTCTGCCTTCATAGTGTTAACATGCAGAACATCCCACTAAACTCAAATGTCAGCTAAACCACACACCAAAAAAAAAAAAATTGTTTAAATATATCTCATTTTAGATACACTGAGACATTTTCCTTGGCTCAGGTGAACTTGCAATATAACCAGCACTCTGTCTTTATTTGCTAAATCACAGTACTTCCAACTTGCTGTTATCTCTGCCCAGAACACAGCCTTGCAGCTTCCCTTGGCTAACTCCTTGTCATTCAGGCTCCATTCCAGCATCTTTTCTGCAGAGACCTTTGAACCACCCTTTCCCAAGTTAGTGGTGTAACAGCTCTTTAGCATAGTCCCTGGGTGAGTTGAAAAGAATTTACTTATTTAATCCTCGTTTCCTTCCACCAGAATGACCATTCTGATGTTTTCCCCAATCGTTCTCCATCCCGTGCATACACCTAGCACACATCAGACATCAGACAAATACCTCCCGGCTGGGTAAATGAGAGGACTCTAGGACTACTTTACAATAGTGCTTAACGCAAAGGCCCTTGCTACCAATCTGATGGAATGAGTTCTATCCCAAGTATGACATGGTGGAGGGAAAGAACCAACTCCAACAAATGGTACTCCACAGGTATGCTATGGTGTGTGTGGGGGGGCACACATGTCTGTGTGTCTGTGTGTGTTTGTTTAAAACAGAAATGGTGCAGGACAGGGATGATGCATGCCTTTAATCCCAGCACTCAGGAGGCAGTGGCAGGTGGACTTCTGTGAGTTCAAGGCCAGCCTGAGTCTACAGAGTGAGTCCCAAGACAGCCAACGCTCCACAAAAAAACCCTGCCTCGAAAAATAAATAAATAAACAAACAAATAAATAAATAAATGCTAATGATAAATAAATAAATAAAACGAAACAAGACAAAACAAAAACAGAAATGGGAGCTGGGCAGGGTGGCACAGGCAGAGGGAGGCTGATCTGTGAGTTCAAGGCCAGCTTGGTCTACAGAGCAAGTTCCAGGACAGCCAGGGCTGTTATATTGAGAAACCCTGTCTTGAAAAACTAAAGCCAACCAACCAAGCAAACAAAAACAAAGCAAAAACAAAAACAAAAAACAAAATAGACCACCACCAACAACAACAAAAAACAAAACAAAACAAAACAAACCCAAGAGTGGGATTCTGTTTTATGAGCTCTTCTTGTTTCCTCACAGAACATAATGTCTAAGTAAGAAAGAGCTCGTAAATGCTTTTTAAAATGGCGGGGAGGGTGCCGATTGGCAACGGGATGCATTTCCCAGCTTGCTCAAGGCTTGGTTCCACTCCTGCACTGCCAAACACAGAAAGGCTGAGAGCACAGCTGTGACAGGAAGCTTTGGGCTATTCCATTTGACAGTTTCTAGAAGAGAGCTCCAAGGACCAACCTTTGGAGCCCTTAGGGCCCTTGTCGGAACACATAACATAGATAAGATTAGAAAATAAATTACACTGGAATACAATTACAAAAACAAAGCCATGGGTTTGGCAAGCTGGCTCAGAAATAAGGGGGCCTGCCACCAAGCCAAACCTGAATTTGGGGTCCAGGATCCACGTGATAGAAAGAGAGAACTAACTCCTACAAATTGTCCACTGACGCCCACATATGTACGGTGGCATGCATGTACACCCACACACTAAGTAAATAAATGTTTAAAAAGGGCATGGTGATGCATGCCTTTAGTTCCAGCACTTGGAGGCAGAGGCAGGGGGGATCTCTGTGAGTTCAAGGCCAACCTGGTCTACAAAGTGAGTCCCAGGACAGTGAGGACTGGTACATAGAGAAACCCTATCTTGAAAAACATAAATAAATAAATAAATAAATGTAATAAAAAAAACCTCAAAAGCTAGGGCTGGCAAGATGACTCAGTGGGAAGGGGTACTTACCACCAAACCTGAGTTCAATTCCCAGGACCCACAGTTGGAAGTGACTTCTGTAAGTCCTCTGACCTCTTCATATATGCCTATGCATTTGCACACATGCACACACGCAATCACGCGCACACACACACAAAACATACACAGACACCACGAATGCGCATACACAGTAAATTCAAGAAAGTTTTAAAAGTTTAAGTTTTAAAGTTTTAAAAGGTCTAGGCATGATAGCACAAACATTTAACCCAGCACTTGGGAGGCAGCTGTTGTAGGTAGAGTTCTGTAAGGTCAAGTCCAGTGTGCTCTATAGTGAGTTCTAGGCCAGCCAGGAGTACACAGTGAGATTCTATCTAAAAACAAAACAAAACAAAAAACGAGCTATGTAATACAATAATAATGATATAATAATAATGACATACTTTATGCATTAAGAAACAAGCTCTAGCCGGGCAGTGGCGGTGCACGCCTTTAATCCCAGCACTTGGGAGGCTGAGGCAGGCGGATCTCTCTGAGCTCCAGGCCAGCCTGGTCTACAGAGTGAGTTCCAGGACAGGCTCCAAAACTACACAGAGAAACCCTGTCTCAAAAAACCAAAACACAGATAAACAAACCACAAGCTCTTTAGCAGCGAGTCAAGTTTTTACCATAATTTCAAAGTAGTGATAAAAATGTTTTATGGTGGCTACAACAAAGTAATATGATTTGAAAACATCTGTGATTTCAGTTGGTGACAATCTTGGGCTCATTAATACAATTCTGGGTCATAGTGCTGCTTGGTAATTGAAGATCATGCTGCACCTGAAGTCAGCCATTTCTTCCCCTCCACTCCAGTCCGTAGACCTGAATTTGGCTGACTTGCCAGCTGCCAGCTGCCAACTCAACATGTACCTTATTTGCACTAGATTTAAGCAGCTCTTGCCTCCTTCCTCCTTCCTGGATGCCATGAAGTTGTCTGACAAGTTCAGCCAGTTCTGAGCTGAGGAAGCCAGATAATCCGCCTACTTATCGGAGTCCACCTAATCCAGATAGATGCTTTTCATCACTGAAGGTATCTTCCAGGCTCTGCAAATCCAGAGGATCTGCCTCCTTCCTTCACACAAGCCTCGGCACTGGCTTCGTTTCTCAAATCACTGGCACCAGTCAGGTTCTGCTTCTTGGCCAGGGTTATGGAAATTATCTGAACTTGTACTCTCTTCCTTCCATGGTAATTATCAGCATATTCTGTTGGCATTATCAAACATTATGCCTCCCAGAAGTCATGTTCATATATAAAATATTGCTATGCCAGAGCTAAAAGGTGGACCCAGAGCTCTGGATTTCTAAACCCAATGTGTATCCCACAGTGCTTACACTGTCCTTTAATATTGTTGGACTGTTAAAAATAGTTTAAATTGGCTGGAGGTGGAACTTAGTGGCAGGTCTTGTACTTAGCATACCTGAGGCTATGGGTTCAATTTTTCAGCACCAAAAAAGAAGAAAGAAAGAAAGAAAGAAAGAAAGAAAGAAAGAAAGAAAGAAGGAAAGGAAGGAAGGAAGGAAGGGAGAGAGAGAAAGAAAGAAAGGAAGGAAGGAAGGAAGGAAGAAAGAAAAGAAAGAGAGGGAGGGAGGGAGGGAGGAAGAAATGAAGGAAGGAAGGGTGGGTAACAAGCCTCCAGGTCTTAGCACAACTGAAGCCATAATGGAAGCATCATTCAGGCCATGGAACCCAGCACACCCAGCACACAGGCAGCACCATCAACCAAAAACAAGAACCTCATCCATCAAAGTCCATAGACCTGGGTAAGCCCCTAAATGTACTAACTTTGCTTTTTTGCTTCTGTTGTTCTGCATCTGGCTAACTGTTCTTGATAAATGAGGCATGTCAACCCAGGATGTGGTTTTTGTACTTAAAAGCCCGCCCTGAGAAAGGTTCTGGACGAACTAGGGTCCCAAACACCCAGCGTAGTTGCCCGCCAGCTAATAAGAACTTTCTATTGGCTTGAACGTGTGTCTGAATGGTCTTCCCTGGAGGATAGATACCTCATAACATTTCTGGGGGCCACAGCAAGACCCCCAGAGGCCAGTCCAGCAGTAACTATGGCTGCAGCAGCTACTGTTGCTATGGTGACACCACCAGTGATGGCTGGTAGTGGCCACAGAGGCCCAAGGGTAAGAAAGAATATGATGTCTGTTTCTCCTGTAAAACTCCAGATCTCCTACAAAATCGACTGGCTCTGTTTTGTAGGCGGGTGGCCTAGTGACAGTTGAGGCTGTCTGGAACATGGTGACTAGGAGATCGGCCATCTGACCAGTCTCCTTCTATCAACCAGTGACTTTCTCTGGTGTAAGACCCTGCCCTCCCACCCTGGCTCAAGACCTGTGACTTTTTAAAAATGGTTTCTTGACACTGGGTTCCTCTGTGTAGCCCTGGCTGTCCTGGAACTTGCTTTGTAGACCAGGCTGGCCTCAAACTCAAAAAGACCTACCTGCCTTTGCCTCCCAGGTGCTGGGACTAAAGGTACACATCACCACATTTGTGACCTGTGCCTTGTTTTTGGGGACACAAGTCCTTTTGGTTCTGCCAGGTTGTCCAGAGAAACCCCAAACCTCCACTTGTTCTCCCAACCCCACTTTCTTAGCACTCCCTACTGGCTCGGACTGCTTGGTCCACATCTCCTTTTCCACTAATGGTCTGTATAACTAGAAAACTCAAAAGCCTTCAGCCTCTGCAAAGAATAAAAAGGCTCCTTCAGGTGGGGCGGGGCCTGGTGGGACAGTGCAGTCCAGATAGAGCAGGTTTTCCCTCCTGTCCAGCCTGACTGGGACCCCAACACAGACTAAGACAACTGTTGTTGTCCTAACTCCCTGCTGTTATTGGAAGACAGACAGACACGAAACTCCACCAGGCCACATATCTGGGGACATCTAAAGCTGCTAGGTTACTCAGGCCCAGATATTACAATAAATACGGGTTGTGCTTCTCCCTGTGGTTTGACAATGGCCCGGCCTTCATGGCCCAAGTTTCTCTAAGTCTGGCAAAGGTCCAAAATATTGATTGACAACTACATTGTGCCTAGAAGCCACAAAGTTCAAGACAGGTAAACTGAACATATATCCTTGAGACTGGGGAAGATGGGCTAACCTCTTACCCTTTGCCCTTGGCCAGATGCACCCAGATTCAGAAGTTCATACTGCAGAAACTACTAACCACTGCCTCCCCCAAGTCCTTGCAGGTCCTGCCACACACCCAGAGAACTATTCCCCAGACATTTGGAGAAGCCACACCCTTGCCTGGTCTGAGCCTGCCTGGGGACCTTATATGAGCAGAGAGAATCCCAACCAGGAGCCTGGAGCCAGCATGAAAAGACCCATGCTGCCCCTCTGCCACAACCACCCCTCTTACTTTGGTTCTTTGGATGAAGGTGGGTGTTAGGGTCTCCCTCGACTGCTCAGGCTTTGGACTTCACATCCTCCTGCCTCAGTCCTTAGAGTAGGTGGGATTCACACCCAGCTACAGTGCAATTTCAAAGAAAAAATTTAGACAGTTAAAAAATATTAAATAAATACTAAAACACTAGGTCTCATTGGTTGTAAGTAATAGTGATGGACCTGCTCTAGCTTAAGAAAAAAGCAAATGTCACAGGAAAGCACAGAGTAACCCCCAGACTCAAAGGAAACCCCAAAGACCTGGCTTTGTAATAAATAGGCATAATTCTGGGGATCTAATTAGCAGGAACTCACAGGCAAGATGAACAAAGTTCCCTGTGAGGCCAAGAAAATGAATACCTCGTGCGTTCTAGGCAGTAGTGTCTCTTGTAACTACTGGACGCTGTCAGCGGAGAACAAAAGCAACACAGGCAGAGCGATACTCAGCAGTGGCTGGGTCCCAACATGATGACGTCATGAGAATGGCTGGGGCGGGGGCGGACCCACATTCGAGTCCCAGTTTGCCACGCTGTTTTAGGGTGTTTTCCTCATGGAAGGGTCAGTCCTCTCAATGGCTGGCTCGAGATTCAAATTCAATGAGAGAAGATGTGACAGCAAGAAAGAATGTGGGTCACTCTGGGCAGCTTGGCCGGGGACGGTGGTTTTGTCCTGCCAAGCCAGACTCTGCCCGATCTAGAGTTTGCTTTCTGAGGCCAGATGAAAGACATGCCTGGCAAGAAGTTGGTGTGGGGGGAGGGTGACCGTGAAATGGTGGGTGTTCCCCACACCAGTGTCTCCCTTTCTTCAGTTTCCTGTTGGGCTCCCTCTACAACTCTCCCTTCTAGGGAAGGAGCCAATGAAACCTGGGTGGTGGGCGCATCCTAGCGAGATGGTTTCCCAGTGACACTAACGGGAACCACTGCTCCTGTGTCAGTGGCCAGGGCTGAGCCACAGAGGACGCTAATTAAATGCTAAAGGCCCATTAAACTTAGTTCTCTGTTTTCCAACAAAGATGGAGGGCTGGCAAATTATGGGAGTCCCTGTAATGCAGAGGACGCCTTGACCCGTTGCAGGGAGACCATGGGAAGTGGTGGCTCGGGGTTTCGTAGTTAGTCCATGAAAGGGATGGGGTAGCCTCTGGCTTTCTGTCCAGCCTCTTTCTGTTGCATAATTAATCTAAACCAATTTAGCTTCTCTGACACAGCCAGCCAGGGCCTGGCACTTTTGTCTGTGTGGACTCAGAGCAGGCCCAGCTGAGAAACACATAAAGCGCTACCCTACTCCCCAGGTTCCATGGCTTGACTGTCGCAGGGTGTTGGAGGAGGAAGAAAATGATCTTCACGTCTAGCAAGTCAGCCCTGGGGAAACTGCAGTTCCTGAAGAGAGAGAAGCCTTCCCATCTCCAAGCCCTGGAACCCTTCGCCTTCTCTCTTAGTTGAGCCCTATTTGCCCCCTGCCCCAATCCCCTTCCCAATACCTCTTTGATCTTGATTTGGTTGGAAATCCCAGATTAGGCTCTGATGACCCAAGAATGCCTACTAGCCCTAGGGAGGGGGTTCTCTACTGGAAGGAGACAGGAACATGTGTTCTGTTTGCAGAAGAAGCACGCGTTTGTGATGTATCTGGAAGAACTGAGTTGCTGAGTGTGAGGACTGAGTGGTGCGGGCTCTGTGGAGGAAAAACTGTACATGGCAGCTGTTCTGGTGAACAACTGCCCTGGTTCTTCTTGGGATTGGTGGATTGCCAGACTTGGGGATTTCAGTGGTAAAATGGGAAACATCCAGGCAAATGAAGACAAGTTTAGTCACCCGCGGCTTCAGTCTTAGGAGCAACACAAATAACAATTTGCTATCTACCATGCACGAGTGTGAGCACACTGCCTTCCTCTGTTGTTCAATTGACTCATTGGCTGAAGGGCTGTATTGATTTCTATTTTATGAATGAAGGAACTAAAGACCAGCTAAGTAACTAAGGACCTCACCCAAGGTCACACAGCTAAGTAAGTGTGGGCTTGACATGGAAACCCAGATCTGTCTCTCTTCCAAAGCCATGATTTTACCATAATAACTCTTTTCCTTCTAACGGACATGAAAGTAACTCCATCCTGGAATTATTCCTTTAGGGATTATTGTACTGGACTAATTGACTCTGAACAAGTCAGAGATTGGCCGCTAGCCCCTACCCAAACTGGAAACTGGAAAGAGGGTTAGGTTTTGTTTTTTGCTTTTTTCCTTTGGTCCTGGGAATTGAACCCTGGGGCCTTGTACATACTAGACAACTACTTTACTACTAAGCTATGTTCCATTGACCCCCTTTTTGATAATTATGCTTAATCATTCTTATAAATGACATAGGGGAATAAAAATTAATATGTGCATGAAATTGAACGTTCAGAAATGCAAATAGGAATTTACTATGTGATAAAGACAGAATTTCAAATCCATGGAGGAAAGGCAATAAATGCTGGGAGAATGAAGTAGCCAGAAAAAGCTGGCTCCCCGTTTCACACTTTATATTAAAACACATTCCAAATGCAGTCAAGGTTTATGTGTGAGAATAAAAATCAAAGGAACATCGAAAAGACACATGGGAACTTAGGTCTGAGTGTGCTGCAAAATCCAGAAGCCATAAAAGAAAATAAGTTCAATTTCATTAAACTCTCCTTCGTGGCAAAACAAAGTCCATAGGAAGGTAAAACAAAGATGGTGGAGACATTTTAAATGCTCAAAAACCTAAAACTAACATCCTTTTTATTACATTTATTTATTTAGTGCGTGTATGTGGGCCTGGATGCGTGCATGTGTGCCACAGTTCACTTACGGAGACCAGACAACTTTGGGGAATTGGTTTTCTCCTTCCAACATGTAGGTCCCAGTGATCAAACTCAGGCTCTGGGGCTTGGCTGCAAGTGCCTTCCAAAACTTACATTCTCAATGGGTAAAACATTTACACAAGTAAAAAGGAGAAAAGAAAAGTAATCAACAAAATCTAGCACAACACAGACACGAGCATCTGAAGAGTCAGTTCACAGAGGAGACGGATGCTTAACTCCTGGACAAGTTCCGCTTTACTGATAAGAAAAGAAAGTTAAGGCTGCAAGAAGTTCCTGTATCATTGGAGAGGCAAAGAGGGCTAACCCTGCCCTGTGAGCTAGTGCAGTCTAGTCAGAAGGCCACTGACAGTGTCCATCACAGCCGAAAATCAACCACAGCCTTTGACCTGACAGTCCCACAGAAGACTTCACCTGCAGGAGAATGAACTGCAAGGATTTAGGGGTAGCATTTTGGCAACTGTAGACAACATATTCCTCCATGAAACGGAACTGGGTCGGCTGGGTGTGGTAGCGCACACCTTTAATCCCAGTGCTCTGGAGGCAGAGGCAGGTGAATCTCTGTGAGTTCCAGCCTGGTTTACATGGTGAGTTCCAGGACAGACAGACAACTGTGAGGGACAGTAGAGGGATCTCGTCCCAAAAATAACAACAACAAAAAAAGGGAACTGGATAAAGAAACTATGTTAGGTCTACATAGTAGAAAATTATGGAAAAATTGAAGCAACACAATCTATGTGGATAAAAAATGATCTCTGGTATAGAAAGAAATACAGATACAGATGTACATACTTAATGGAGAACAACGAGAAAAGTATGTCATCATTCGTGTGTCTATGTGTGTCCCAAAGGAAGACAGATAGTGTATCATACATGTCGGAACACAAGGTCCAAGAGTGAGTTACGTGAGAATTCTGAGCTTGTGAGCAAACTCCAAGAAACTAAGACTCTTGTGACCTCCGTTTCTTCAAAAACACTGAATTGTTTTTGAATTATGCTCTTGGGTCCTTTCCAGGTGTGGTGGCTAGGAGTGAGTTTACTTCACATCATTAATTACACCCGGCTATTGCTATTTGTTTATATACACCTATAGGGAAACTTGTTCTTGCTGCACGTAGCTTGCCTGCACGTTTGGCTTGCACTGTGATTGGAGACTTTATTCATGTGACTCCTCTTAATCCTCAGAGTACAAGGGAATAAAGTGGGCTATTGGAGGAGACTTTAGTCCCCCTCATATTTAGGCTCCATTCTCCCAGGTCCCACCGCGCTAGAGTGGTAAACAGGTATGTTTGTAACTGAATGAAAAGTCTCTGGTAAGACACACAAGAAACTGGAAATAGTAGTTCCCATAGGGAAAGTGTTGAAGCCACAGTCAGTAGTGGAAGACCACCATCCCATTGGCCAAACTGGAGCAGCCATTTTATTGTGCACAGCTGAATATACAGGTCCAGCGACCATCGCCCCTAATATGGGTTTCAGAGAGGGACGTGGGGAAATAAGGTTGTTAGAGCTCAGGGGTAGGGAGTCCAAATGGGGAGCTTGGCAAGCAAATAAACAGGGTCACAGAAGAGAACATAAACATAACAGGTTGGTCATAAACAACCTCCTGAAACAAAGATAAGGTTGCTGTTTGCTGGAACAGGAGTACAGAACCATTTGTAGTTAAGGTTACCGGTGGGGCTTAAAATTGAGAATTCCTGTGTTTTCTCCCAAACCTATAGAACCAGTAGTAGAGGAATCTACTTATTTTTTAAAATCTTTGTAAAACATATGTAATATAAAGTGTTACCATTTCAATTATTTCTGAACACACAATTCAGCGGCTTTAAGCACATTCCTATTGGTGTGTGACCACCGTCATTGTCACACCCAGAGATTTAGAATGTGACTACGCAACAGTCTGCTCCTGTGGCCTCCTCCCTCCGCCGTGGGCAATGACCCCTGCTAAGTGACAATGCCCATTCCAGGTGTCCATAAACAGTGGCGCTGTCTTTGTTCTTTCCAGTCTGCTCTGTGCCGCTCGGCACGACGCTTTCAATGCCCGTCTGTATCGCAGCATGTGTTCGAGTCTCCACTCCTTCTCAGGGCTGACGAATTTGCCATTGCGAGCACATATCACACTTTGCCTGGTGTTAATTGTTTGATGGACATTAACTGGCTTGCTTCCACCTTCTGGTCATCGTGAATCATGTGATGAAACTAGAGGTGCCCACGTTTGCTCAAGTCTCCGCTTTCACCTCTTCTGGGAATACGGTACACCAAGCAGCTGTTGGTCACACAGTATTTCCTTTTTCCATGTATGAATGCCCTATCTGCATGTATGCTTGTGGGCCAGAAGAGGGCATCCGACCCCATTACAGATGGTTGTGAACAGCCATGTGTTGCTGGGAATTGAACTCAGGACCTCTGAAAGGGCAGGGAGTGCTCTTAACCGCTGAGCCATCTCTCCAGTCCAGCATCACAGCATCACATAGTATTTCTATATCCCGCCCATTTTTTTTTTTAAAGGAACCATCATATCGGTTGCCTTAGCAACTGTACTACTTTACAGTCTAGCCAATAACACGTAAGTGTATGTGTTCCAGTCTCTCCACATCTTCCCTTTCTGGGGAGACAGGGTTATTATTATTATTATCTTACTAAAGGTATAATTTTAATTAATTAATTAGTGTGTGTTGTATATGATCGGTCCCAGCTTCTGTGTGGGTGCTGGGGAGTAAAGCCCAG